CGCAATCGTGATGCCCTTGGCCCTGCACTGGCCAAGCATTTAGGTCACCAGCCCAACAAACTGGTCGACTATCAGCTTGTGGAGCAACTCTATGAGTGTTGTCATCATGCACAGCTCGTTGTCGTCAAGCTCCACTTCCACCTCAGGCAATGACAACAACAACGAGTACAACTGGTGCGCATCAAGCAGCTGTGCCAAGAGGTACAGGATCGTGATGCAGCCATGGAACCGCTTCTTGCTGTGGAACGTGGTCTTGTACGTCTCCCAATCACACAAAAACTATCAATTTAACCTTGGGGTGCTCAGTGAGGACCTGGTCATAGATCATGGGCCCGATGGCGTGCTGAAACATGGCAAGGAACTCATTGTCGAGCATGGTCAATCCACACAATGCGCCAAGACCCAGCACAAGCTCATCAAACTCGTTGCTGCCCATGTGCATTGCTGTCAAGTCAACAGTGCCGCCACCTAAGCATCAGGAAGAGCGTGAAAATCCTTGTCCATCCAACCACAGTGTGCCAACAGCAAGAGAGAGCACAAGCATACCCATGTCCACCATCAGGATTGGATCATTGTGCTGGATTTTGGTGCACGCATTGGACAAAATGGCCTCAGTAAGAAGGCCCGCCATCAGCTCCAAGCATAAGATGATGCACTCAGAGGTCAGTGACAGGGTTAGGTCAGCCTTGAACATGGTGCAATGCAATTTCTGCTTGGCCACATCACTCCACATGGCCGGAATTTTCAGGCAGCAGACGTGATAAACTTGCTGATGTTGGAGAAGCAGGAGCGTCGCTGTCAGTCCTCGAAAACGTGAAGATTGAATCCAAGACGTTGACGCACATTGTCATATCACTGTGCTTGATAAACTTGCCAAGAAACTCGACGAGTGCACACAAGTAGTCAGCAATCACATCGACCAGAGCCTTGCCAAGCTTCTTGATCCGCTCCATGGCCATGTTCTTGTGCACAAGCTTGACACTGAGTAGCCGCCTTAAGTAGTCAATGTAAATGTACTCAACCTGTGCATCCAGGTCCATGCTCAGGCATTGCCCCCGCGCCTCGTTGCCCCCCTCAACGACCTCACCCTTGACGTCATAGAGCAACGCCTTGCACGTTTTGAGATATGGGGCATGGCCAGTGGGCCATGACACGTTGAACTTGATGTAGTTGGCAAGCTGCAGGTGCAGAACTGACAACAGATTGGTTGCGGCAGCATCTTGGTTGAGCGTGCTGACAAAATCCTTGATCGCAATGGCAAACCAGCTGTAGCTGGTGCCAAAATCGACTGCGACCTGCCACTTGATTGGGTGCACGGCTGCGAGCAGGTCGTCAGGCGCTGGCACTTGCAACTGATATTGGCCCATCTTGGCACTGGTTGGTCGGGTTGGCGGTGCTTGGCAGAGGTTTTGCGTGCGTTCCTCGTGTCGAAGTACAAGGGGAAGCAAGCGACGTGGTCATCACGGCCGATCCCGTCGTCGTGGTCGTTTCGGGGCCGTGCACGACGATTTTTCAAGCAAGGTCAGCAGCACGGTACAGCACGTCCAAGTCTTGCCCACCTTGTAGCGCATCAGCGAGGGCGCGCCGGAGGTGCGCGCGCTGTGGAGTCGGCCGCGGCGCATGTCGCAGTTGGCCGCGCAAGACATGACGGCCAAAAGTGTACTGCCGCGCCAGCCTGAGCCGCTCGTGCACCACAGCAGGCATGACGAGAAACGAGGCCATGGAGCGACCATCAACGCGGACAAATAATCGACAACGTGCCAGCTTAGCTTCATCAGCGGGACGGCGCCTGCAACGACCGAATCTGACGCACTGCATCCGCGCCAGCCCTCCATGATCCTCGCCTTCTTGTCGGCCATTCTCGGGTGGGACGAAAAAAATCCATACGCCGACGAGATCCCAGCCAATCATGCGGCCGCCGCTGGCTTGCATCGCCGCGAGCAAATTGGGACCGACCGAGGACGTGCTGCAGCAACTGTGCTAGACGAACACGACTCGATCCAAGACGCCGATTCAAAGCCAACTGGTCGCAACGGGCTTGCAACATGCGACGCGAGTACCAATTTGAGCCGTGCGCCAGCCGCGACAGCCGCCGATCAAGTCACGACCAGAGTGTCGCCGTCACCGCGCTCATGTGATCCACGCTCGAACCGCGCTGACGCCGCGGCGATTGACGGCGCGCTGACGGACGCGTCCGAGGCCGTCAAGTCGATTATCGTCAAGATTCTCGACCACGTCAAGAATCGCGGCAAGCGCAAGCGTTTCGTAGCTGCGACCAAAGCTCTCGTGGAACCGTTGCTCCAAACTGCGCTCGCTGGCCATGGTGACGGCGCTGCCGTCGTGGCCGATACGCTCGGCGCGTGGCGCATCAGCGACGCGCGTGCCGTCCTGCTCTCGACCGTGATGCGCGCGGCCTGCGACGTGCTCAACGCGTATTGGGACCGACAACACGCTGCGCTCGTTGGTGGTCACCTCGAGGCCGACTCTGTCGCTGTTTGGCTCGACCACGCTGTACACGCTCTGCGCGACACCATGGAGCGCTACGACCACGACCCGCGCATTCGCGGGCGCGCCATTGTGTCGGGCGACCCGACCCGGCACCTCATTGTTGGCCCGGAAGCAAAGCACAGCAACCGCACCGCAGCACTCGTGTCAGTTGTGAAGGCTGTGACGCTGGCCATGCTCGACGTTCTGGCCAAGGATTTCCAGCTGCATGTCGGGTGGGGCGACTACATGGACCTGATCCGCCGCGTTGTGCTGCCAAGCGTGGAGTGCTTTTTTGCGACGAAAATGCTCGATCTGGATTGGACGTTCACGTTTGCGCCGCCCAGTTCGCTTTTCTCGCCGATGACCATGGCTGATCCGCCGCACGAGCTCGATTGGCATGTCGATGAGAGCGACTTGACACAGCGTGTGCGCGTCGTCGTCTTGTCCACATTTCCAGGCATCCCGTTTCGATTTGGTGTCGACGAGACGGTGCTGCACCGCGCCGAGGTCGTGGTTGTGACCGTACCCTCTCCGCTCGCGTGCTCGGCGGCACTGGTGACGGCTGAGGGCGTCGATCATGAAGTGCCGCACATTGAGCCCAATGAACGAGTAACCACACCCGTTGCCCTCGATTACGCTCCCTCGTCAAACTGTTGCCTACCCACGCCGTCTTTTGCTCCGGCCGTGGAACCCGCGCATGAACCTGGCCAGTCGGCCGCGAGCTCCTCGCGTACTTCCACCACGTCTCTTTCAGCGTCGAGACCCCTCTCGGCAACATTCACGGCATCCGTGTTGACCCAGTCGGAATGCGTGTCTAACGCGTGGATCGGTATGTTTCGACAGCACCCAGACCTCTCTCACATCCGAGCCCATTGCGCTCACCAAATCAATTCGATTCCAGCTCAAGGCGCTGCCGAAATCCCTATTCTCGCCGCCAACCTCTACGCCCTCACTGCCGCCCCCATCGCGCTCAACCTCCCGCCGCAACACATCCCCACCTACTCCTCCTTCCACTCGCAGTGCGTACACTTGACCTCCGCCACCCTCACCCGCCTCCTCGCCACCTTGCACCGTCTCCTCTCGCGCCCAAGCACCGACCTGCACGCCCAACTCGCGAAAGTCGACCACCGGCTCGCGCTCCTCCGCGCCGAGGTCCTGCCCACGACGATCACGAACCGCATCTCGGACCGAGTCCAGGTCCTGCTCGCCGACCATCAGCGCGACATTCGCGCGTTTCTCGGCCCGCTCCACCGGATCCCAACGTCGCCGAACTGGCAAGTGCTGTTCTTGTGCAACTTGTACACGTGGTTCCGGCTCGTGGTGACGGCGCGGATGGTCGGGTGCATGCTGGCGGTGCCGCGTGCTGGGGAAGCGGCGGAGATGGTGTGTTTGGCGCACGCGGACGCACGGCGAGAGTGTGGGCGTGTTGGCGTCGCGGTGGGTCCGATGGTGGTGCGTGTGGGAGTGGACGGGCAGAGAGTGGTGGTGGTGCAGCCGTGCGTGGGGTACTGCGACCGCGCGAGGAGTTAGCGACAGGGGTGGAAGAGGTCAAGGTTTTTACGTGGACAGTGGATTTGATGTCATGCTGTTGACGCGATTACAGTCTGGAATATTTTTCCTCTGAAGAGCAACTGCGTCGGACTGCACCCACACCGTCTTCCTTCTCTGCAGCAAGCCCGTCGTCGACAGAAAGCGGCCGTCGCGTCCCTCCCGACATGCGAGCCACCATTCACCAACCTGTCGATTTGAAAGGCTCAGCTCAAAGTGCAAACAGCAAGTCAGTAGGAAATCAAGATCCGAATACCTACTTGGCTGAGGCGCCCCAAACGCGCGCAGAAATCCGAACAAGAAATTTAAGCGTGCGGAACAACCTCGAATCGCATCACGAAAAGAAGCAAAAGAGTCTTCATGAATCCAGGAAAAGCAGATGCACTTGGCTGGTCACTGGGCGGTACTGCAGTGCAGAGGACACCCACGAAGCAGAGGCATTGCACCCAGCTGGTCCTCCTTGCTGCAATAATCGATATGACAAGAGAGGGGATCCAGCAATCGGACCACCTCATAGATGTCAATCTATGAAGAACAGAAGCTATACCTGATCTTCGCCAATTGGCATTGAGAGGATGCAAATCAGAAAAGGACGGCTTTGGCGCTGCCTTTACATGGTAACAGGAGCGCAACCAAGGCGATAATTAGCTGACGTATTGTCGTGCTCATTCAAGCTGTTGATTGTGGGGTGTCTGTTTTTACAGTTGCAGAGCCGTGCAGACCAAAAAGAACGATTCACAGAGGTCATTAGACATGCTGTCTCAAATCTTGCAATTCAAAATAACGGATAGGCCTGTTGTAACCTGCCACCCACACCACTCGGGCCAAGGCAAGATTGTAATACAGACTCAAGCGGTTCAAAATCATTTCTTTCGAATTTGGCATTGTTGCGAGGGCGGCGATTTTCAACAAAAGGCAGCAACTGGCCCACATTTAGGGACCGCTTCACAGGTTTTCTGTGATTAAGCACCGTCCGAGAATCGAACTCGGGTCGATATCAAGGGAGGGTTCCATGATACCGCTTCCCTAACAGCGCGTGAGTGCCGAATAATGACTTAACAGCTCAATCTCACACAGCGTCTCGTTCAACCCAGGGACCGCGACTGACGTTGGCTGCTGCGACGGCAATGCAACCTCGCTCGAGTCGGTTCTGACGTGGAGTCACCAACGCCCTGCACCTCCAACACTTGAGGATAGATCGGCACAGCTCCACAATTCACAAAGAACGCTCCCAAGATGAACCGCCCCCAGCGTCCGAAAATTGAGTATTATAAACAGATCGCTCCCCAACGACGCATCCGACTTACGCGAGCTTGGCCTTGACAATGGCCTCGAGCTTCCCGGCATCCTCGGCAAACTTGCGAATGCCCTCGGCCAACTTCTCGGTGGCCATGGCATCCTCGTTGTTCTGCCAGCGGAACGCCGCCTCGTCCAAGTGAATCTTGGGCTCGGCCGACTTGGCGTCCACGTTGGGAACCAACTTGCGCGGCAACCCACCCTGCGGCACCTGCGCGGCGGCCAACTCGGCGAGGAGCGACGGCGCAATCGTCAAAAAGTCGCAGCCGGCCAGCTCGGTGATTTCACCCGTGTTGCGGAACGACGCGCCCATGACAATCGTCTTGTACCCGTGCGCCTTGTAGTACTTGTAAATGCGCGAGACCGACACGACGCCCGGGTCGTTGGCGGCGACCGCGTACTTTTCGGCGCCGTGCTTGGCCTTGTACCAGTCGAGAATGCGGCCGACAAATGGCGAGATCAGGGTCACGCCGGCCTCGGCACAGGCGACGGCCTGCGCAAACGAGAAGAGCAGCGTCAGGTTGCAGTGAATCCCGTGCTTGGCCTCGAGTTCGCGCGCCGCCTGGATGCCCTCCCAGGTGGATGCGATCTTGATGAGCACGCGGTCCTTGCCGATGCCCGCGTCGGCGTAGAGCTGGATCAGGCGCAGGGCCTTGTTGATCGTGCCCTGCTTGTCGAAGGACAGGCGCGCGTCGACCTCGGTCGAGACGCGGCCCGGGATCAGCTTCAGGATCTCGACGCCAAAGTTGATGAGGATCTTGTCGATGGCGTGGTCGAGCTGGTCGGCCGGGTTGGTCGACTGCGTCTTGGCCCAGGCGACGGCGTCGTCGATCAGCCGCGCGTACTGCGGCTTCTGTGCGGCGGCGAGAATCAGCGACGGGTTGGTGGTTGCGTCGGTCGGCTTGTACTGGGCGATGCCTGGACGTGGTTGCAGCGGCGGAAAGTGGGCGGCGGTCGGTCAGCGAGGATGGGGCCGCGAGATTGCGATTGGGTCGGTGCGGTTGGGGGTGCAGCAGTGGGAGGCGCGCGTGCGAGAGAGACGCACTCTCAAAGTCGCCGGTGTCGGCGACGATGGTCGTGTACTGCTTGAGCTGGTCGAGGACGGAGGCCATGGTGGTGGTGGTGGGTGTCGAGTTGGTTGGTTGGTTCGCGAGGAGCGAGGGAGAGAGGATGGACTCGAGCTTGCACGCGGCCAAGATGAGCGAGCAGACGAGCACGAGAGTCGCTGGCACGTTGTCGTGATCGTGGTGGGTCCACTTGCCAAACGCGGGACGGTTGTGACTTGTGTTGTCATGGCGCGTGCGGCTTGACAAATCGAGCCGTCGCGGAGTTGGCGTTTGCCGGAGGGGCATCCCTGCCTCACTGACCCAAGCAGTGCAGCTCTAAAGCCATTCGCACAGCGGCTGAGCTTTGGCCGTGCGGTCGCGCGATATCGAAAGACACCACGGGCTTCGGCAGCACAACGGGCACGGCTGCCCGCGTCCTGGCGGATCGAGCAGGAGCCACCCTCGCTCGCTGCAACAAGGTCGGGGGAGGTGCTTGGAGGGCGTTGGACAGTTGGAACTTGCTGCAGCGGGCTCGCCTGACGCTGCAGCGCGTGGAAAGACTCGCGGGGGCGCGCTCAACCGATGATAAGAGTTTCCGGTGCTGCAGTCTTTCGGCCATGGCGAGGGCTGCGGCGTGGGGGGAGGGCAGGGGCGGATGGATCGCCGAGGGGACACGCTTCGGCGCGGGACACATGCGAGACAAGACACACGAACGCGTCGTGCCTTCCTTTGCACGAGCGCGGCAGCCGCGAACACGCACGCGACGTTGCGCCATCCCTCCCGGCGCTGCATGGGCCACGACGACGACGACGGCGCGCTTCCGACCGGCCGGCCGTCCTGCGCGTGCACTCGGGTCGCTCGGGCCGTCGTGACGCGGCGGTGCGACGCGCTTGCGTGGGAGTGGGGGCCGCTGTGCGCGGCGCTGGCAGGTCCCTTCTTGACGGGCGCTGCCGCGCCGGTGGTGGCTCTCCCTCCCTCCCCCGGCTCCTTTTTTTCTTCCGCGGCGCCTCTGCGCCCACGACGCGCTCGCCACCACCACGGCCCGAATCCGACCACCTCCACCATGACGAAGCCAACCGCCAGCACCGCAAGCACCGGCAGCAGCAGCTGCAGCAGCACCGCCGGCCCGCCGCCGCGTCCCATCGCGCGCGGATCGGCGCACCCCCACCACCCCCCACCGCGCACGCCGTCCCCATCCACCATCCCACCCTCGTCCACCACGCTCCGGTCGCGCGTCATCTCGCGCATGCGCGACTCGTGGGCGACCGGCGCGTCGCGCGGTCCGCGCGGGCTCGCGTCGGACCTGGTCGACCACGTGCGGTCCGAATCCATCCCGAAACTCGCGGCCGACTTCACCGCGACGATGCGTTCGCTCGCCGAGTGTTCCGCCGTCGTGCTCTGGACGACGTTGCCGTTTGTGTGCGCGTTCATTACGTTCGGGACGGTGTACTTGGCCATCGCCGCCGAGTGGGAGGCCGTGCGGCAGGGCGCGCGCGTGCTGATTGCCGGGTACGCCGCGTGGGTCGCGGCCGACTGGGCGACGCCGTTCGAGGGCGGGTCCGACCGGCTGCGCTCGGTGCGCGCGTGGTCCGGTACGCTTCTCGCAGCTTGCCTATCTCGGCGTGTCGCGCCGACGCGGCCTGATTCGATCAGGTCGCGCATCACGGCCCGCCGTGGTCCGCGCGGATCTGTGTCACTCACCCTCCACCCCCACGTCCTCTCCCCACACCCCCAACTACCTAGGCTGGGCACACTGGCGCGCCTACTTCCCTGCACGGCTCGTGAAAACGGCGCCACTCCCGCCGGACCGCAACTACATTGTGGGTCTGCACCCGCACGGACTCTACTGCTTTTCGGCCTTCTCCAATTTCGTCTCGATCGACGACCGCGCCCCGCACGTGCCGGACCACCACGTCGGCGAGTGCGCGTCGGGCCGGTTCCACAAGTTGTTCCCGGGCGTGAAGGTGCGACTGGCCACGCTACGGTCGAATTTCGCAATGCCGTTGTGGCGCGAAGTGAATTTGGCATTTGGGTTTGTCTCGGTCGACGCGACGTCATGCCGCCACTGGTTGACGCGTGGGGATGGGAAGGTGGGCGCGGCAACAAAGGGAACGATGGGATTGAAGGTGCGCACGGTCGTGCGGCACGAAGCGCAAGCGGCGATGCGGGTCGTGCGCGACCGCCACGACTCGGGGCTCGGCGACGAGCTCGCCGATGAAACCAAGTGCGACGACGTCAAGACAACCAGCATCACGGAGATTCTCGACCCGGCCGACCCGCACGCGCACCTTGTCGCCGACCCGCTGCCCACCGGTACCCCGCCGTCCCAAGGTGAGGGCCGCGCGCTGCTCATCTGCATTGGCGGCGCCGAAGAATCGCTGCGCACGACGCCCGGCCGAATCGAGCTGGTCCTGCACAAGCGCAAGGGGTTTGTGAAGCTCGCGCTGCACACTGGTGCCGCCCTCGTCCCGACGCTCGCATTCGGCGAAGTCGACATCTTCCACCACGCGGTGCCCGAGCCCGGATCGGCTTTGGCGCGCGCGCAGCAGTGGATGAAGCGCGTGATCGGGTGGTCCATCCCGCTCGTCTATGGCCGGATCGGGATGTGGTTGCCGCTGCGCCGGTCGATTGTGACGGTGGTTGGCAAGCCGTTGGATGTGCCGCATGTGCCTGGCGCGAGTGGGGCGATTGTGGATGAGTGGCATGCGCGGTACGTCGATGCGGTCGTGCAGTTGTGGGAGGAGTGGCGCGATAAGTACCCGTCGGCGGCGACGGGGAAGCCGGTGGAGCTGAAGATCGTCGCGTGAGCGTGTTAGGAGGGAGGGGAGGACGCCGCGAGGGTGGGACGCGTTCGAGCTGACGGGTACGTACGCGAGTGCGAGCGGAGCGTGCAGTTTATTTTTGGGCCTTGTTTGTTCGTCGCGGCCGCAGCCGTGGCCGCGACGGTGCCGTTGTTTGTCGGATTTTGGTTCTCGGTTTTCTTTTGTTTTCTTTTGATTTTTTTTTTTTGAGCGATGCGATCGGGCGAGCACCCGTGCGACGCAACGCATTGCTGCTGGACGTCGATGTGAGCTGGTGCGTCGGCGCGTGCTCGTTACGGGCTGACACGATATCAGGTTGATTCAGTACCCCACCAAATATGGATTCCGTTCTTGATGAGCGTGCGGTTTGTTCAATTTTCCGCAGGTCGGTCGGCTGGTTGGCTGTGTGCAAGGAGAGGGCCAGTCTCAGGCCAGTTCGCTGACATGGCGAGTCAGTCAAGCGAGCGCATGGTGAAGAGCGCGACACAAAACGGCATGTCATGACCACACCGAAAACAAGATGACACCCCCGACTAAACCAATCAACGACAGGACAAGACACGACGACGGAAAACTGGATCCGCGGCCCACCGCCCGTGCGCACGCACGACGAGCGCGACGCACTGTACAGCGGTGGACCGCGCGCTCAGTTCCTCTGCTTGAACCCGTACTTTTTCCGCTCATAGAACAAGTCGGTCTTGGAGGTGCCAATGTTGACAATTTTTGGGCACCCGTCGCGCTGCGCATCGTCCACCCACGCAGCGTCAGCTCTCAATTCCAAATCCGCATATACGGCCGGATATGTTCCAGTGCGTACGTCTTTCTCGAGAATCGTGCACTCCTTGCAATAATACGCGTCCGAGACCCCGGGCCCGCCGCAAATACAGCATTTC